CCGCCCGTCACGCAGCCGGCTGGCCGGGGCGGTGGTGGTGGTGGTGGTGGTGGAGGGCCCGCTTTGCGCTGCCGTCGCGCAAAGATGGCCGGCAGCAACGGCGGCGCGAATCGCCCGCCCGCGTCATCGTTTAGGCCGTGTCCAGGCGCTCCAGCCGACCCCCTGGCAGGCTGAAAATCCCAGAGAAATGACAGAATTCATCAAAGATAAACCCGAACGGGGAGCCGCTACGTTGAACCTTAGTGTCCTGGCTTACCCCCGCAACAGCTCCTTATAAACACTAACACCATGTGCAAATCCCGTCAGGAACATGTGGTGATCTGCCTCTCCCCTAGCAACAGAAAGGGAGTTCCCCAATCACCTCCCCCGTCGTTTAATTTTAAATTAGTTTGCTGAGTTTGAGGACGTCTCCGGGAATCCTTTGGCTTATCCTTATCTCAGAGCTTCACCTCGGGCAGTGTCCTTAACCTGCCGCGGCTGCGGTGCGTAACGAACCTTTTACACGTACGTTTGGAAGGAATTATTTGGAGAGACCTTTCCCAAACAGTGAGGTTGGACCCAGCACCAATATAAGAGCCCCAAATCGGGGCCAAGGCATTTTTATTTTTCAGGCCCGGAGGTGCAAAGCAAGCTATGTTTTTTTCCCCCCAAAACGCCACAATAAGCCACAGAAACTTGCATCTCTCCAATCAGGAACATCACGACTATCTGAACTACATCTGATTGGCCTCTTTAAAATACTAGAAGTCATATAATGTCCCCATATTTTTGTATTCTATAGTTTACAGAATAAACTGGTACGATATGCTGAGAAAATATGTGCATTATACCCTGGATTCTGAAAGTGCTCCAGTAGCTGGAGATATTAATAGACACAAGCATAGGCTAAGATAAAACATGAAATCATTTTCCTTTTGCTAGTAAAAATAAGTAAATTACATATCATTTAGGAAGTGCTACAGAAGCAAACTGCACGATCTTCAGAAAAAGAGAACAAAACGCTCATTGAAGCAAAGCTTATTTATCACTTTATCTTGCAACCTGACACATTACATGCTCAATCTATTTAATTACAGGAACGGAAAAACAGCAGAAAGATATGTATACATAACAGCAATGTTTCCAGTCCTACCTTGGTCGTGACAATGCACAGACAATCCATTCTGTAAATCTCCACGGGAGTATATGTAAATCATAAAAACAAATCAGCAAGGGTGAGAAAAGGCTTTTGAACAGCATGAACAGAACCGGAGGCTTGAATCTGCACAGCCTGCTTTTCCAAGTGGGGCCCTCATAAGAAACTCGAGTCCTCCTCCACAATGCTAAAGGCAGGCATGATGCTCACAGGGATCAGAAAACCCACTAGAAATCGTCTCAAGCAAAACTTCCAGGTGGCTTATCAGGCTTGATTGCTGCATTGTTCAATCTGTGATCAAAATATTCTGTTGAATAGTATGCAGCGCTCTAAATGGGAAGATGAGAACCACAACAAGCACAAAAGAGCAAAAGCATCACATTTCAGCTCTGGCTCTGGTTTCTCTATTCTGATATGCTGTTTCAGTATACCCATAAGATTTCCTTTGCCAAGTCTCTCTCTCTCTCTCTCTCTCTCTCTCTTTCTCCTCTCTCTCTCTCTCACTCTGCTTCCCTGTCTTTTTTTTTCCTCCCCCCTCTCTCTCTCCCTCTCCCTCCTCTTTTCTACTAACTCCGAGCAAGCACAACGTATACAACTATCGGGCCCATCTATCAAAGCGCTGCCACTTCTCTGCCAAAACAACTGCTTTTGGTTGTAAGAGTTTTTATGAAGAGCATGATTCCTGCAAGCTCACATTACTGGAAGTGCATGATTGAAACATTAAGGTGTATGTGATAGCTCATGCGTCACATCTACAATCACTCAGAATTACTAGGTCAGATTCTGATTCAAGAAGTGAATATAAATAACAGCTGGATAAGGAGAACTTTCAGAAAGTATGAAAAAAATCAGTCGGAGAAAAAACATGAATTGCAGATTTATACATGCAAACGTCTCTGTGAAGCGCAACAATGATATAGTTTACAATCCATGGAAAAAGCACTCTAAATATATTATTCAAAGGTGGAGAGGTGCATCTTTTTTTTCCACCTATAAAAAATACATCCAAGTTTTAATTAAAAGAGTTCACTCCAAATAGCAGAGTTTAAAAACTCCTTAAGCTCTCTCCCAAACTTTTTCTGTCTCTTTGACAGTTCCACAGACGTAATTTATTTTATATATACTTTAGTAAGAATTTTGCAAGCTCTTAAGAAAACTGTTTAGCCCCCAAACCCCTACCTTTCTTGCAGTGATGCTGGTGCAGAACTTGCCTTTCAGGTGTCTTACATGAATCATTCCGAGTTAAAAAGCTCACTGTCAGCTCTTAAAGTCATCCCTCTCTTACAGATGGAGAAAGAGAGAGAGAAAAGAAAGAGGGAGGGAGAGAAAAAGAGACACAGAAGGAGAAAGATATGTAAAATGAAAGCTCTGGCCAAAGGGAGAGGAAAATCAATGCTCCTATTCACTGGAAAAAAAAAATACAGCCAACTGGACTGTTGACAGCAACAAGAGGAAACGTCTAGACACCCATACATTACAATTCACCTTTTCAACACACTGGACAGCACAATCCCCCCTGGGTGCTTTGCTGAGGATATCTCGTTCTCACTCAGAGCTAAAATATGTTTTCAATAAAATAAGCCATTTCAAGAAAATAAAAGGATATTTAAGAATCATCTCTCTTCCATAAATTACTTAGGTTATAACCCTAATATTCTCATGATTGCTAAAGCAGCAAGAGGTTCAGTAAATGACACACATTATTTTGCCAAAATGAGGTCACTGCTACCAAAGTTACAAAATCCATAGTGAATCAGATATGTGGTCAGAGAGCAACCAACCCTCCCCCAACTATTAAAGTCTTGGAGGATATAACGTCTTAAAGAGAAACTCTCCAGAGCACTTATGATTTTCTCTAAAGCTTTAACTCACTCTGAGCAACTTCATATGTGCAAAACAAACCTGATTTGTATTCACACACTGCAGAGGGACCTACACGTTTTCTCACTACTGTGGTTTACTCCACTCCAGTAGCCCAATGGTCAGACAATTTTATTAAGCTACAGATTATATGAATCACAGAACTTTTCAAACATCCTTGAAGACACAACCAATTAACTCTCCACTAAGGAACCAATTAACTCATTTAGATGATCTAACCAAAGCTATGCTTGTGTTCTGGGCATGACAAGGTAGATGGGGGTCCAGTCAAATCTATAATCAGGAGAGATTTTAACAATTGAATGTAAAACATCCAACAGTTTTTTTTCCTTTGTTCTCTTCTAATTGGTAGATTCAAGCTGATCTAGTAAGGTGTGAATTATTTCCACACATATAATTGCTTAATGACTTGGCTGTAAAATTTCATACCATACTACAAATTGGCAGATGTGGGTATATTTTCAAACAGCTCTCCAAGGGCATGATCTGTAAATGATTTTTTTTTTTTGCAAGTAACTCTACACCTGTGAGTTGGTCCCAGTGAATTCATTATCCTATTTACAGTTTATATGAAAAACAACGGACTTGAACTCTTTGAGGGTGCTTATGTGAGCAACATGACTTGTGTTTGTGCTTTGAAAAACCAGACTTTATAAGCGTACCCAAAAGTTTCCTCCTGCAGCCTAGTTTTTGGGTGTAAATCCTGCACTAAATCCTGCGGCCATCAGCTCCTTCTGTAAAATGCTGCAATCAGCATTTAAAAGTGCAGGATTTGCCTGTGTACTACCCCAGCTTAGCACACCATTAATGGTGGACCCCCAGAAAATACAGCCACCTACTTTTTACCCTCAGAATTTCCTTTAGCCTAAAACAGAAGAGATCTATGCTTTGGGGAACAGAGACCACAACTCCATCCTTCTACAGGCTCATTGTGGCTGTCAGGGCTCCTGGTCACAGTTTCTAAAATACATCTGTCAATGACTAGACAAAGCAGTGACTCCACTACAGTAGTATGGAAGTAGATGATGGACTCAATGGGGGAGGATACAATCTCTCTTTTTCTCTAATTCTCCATCCCTAATGCAAAACCGCTTCCAGCGCTGCATTTTTCACTAAACGAGATATGAAAGGGATGTTAGAGAGACACAGTGAAAACTGTATGCTTTATCACAAAAGATTCAGTTGCTCCATTTTCTTCCATCAACTGGACAATTTTTCCATTCACTTTATTACCACAAACATAAGATTTTTGAATTCTTGGAGCTTCTTTCCCCTTCATTAGCAATGGCCTCTTCTTCTCTAATTTCTGCAGGTCAGTTTGATTCTTATTTGTATTTTTTCTCTGCTCTTCCAACCTTCCTGTTATCTGCAAATATGATCATGATTGAAATATACTCCACAAAGACTTGACCCAAAAAACAAACAAATTAAGAAGCAGCCATCTGGGGTGAAAAGAGATGATTTATAGTTGCTTGTGTAGTTGATTTAAATGGTCAAAAATATCCTCTGGGATGAGCTCTGACTCTCAGAAAGCCTTAACACAGGAAGAATAACAAATACTTCCCACTGTGATACCAGTGGCTCTGCAGACCACCATGTGAGAACCACTTAGCTGGGTGACTACTTCCTTCTGTTCTAATTCTACTAAGGCATCTATTTTTAAATCACATAAAACAAACAATTAGAGGCAAGTAGGTGAAATTTGATGGTCTATATAATACAAGAGTGTAGTCTGGACAATTTAATGCTCCTATCTGCCCTTAAAAACCTTAATTTACTGTATCCAGGTACTTCTTCCACTTGTATAACCAAAGCATAGGATTTAATTAGGCAGCTATATTTAGAACCAGAGCTTGTAACATCCAGCTGAAATGAATATTTTGTAAAAGCGAGCTTCAGTAAAACCTAAAACCAATAAGAAGGATTTCATGATTTTTTATAATCTTCCATGACACAGCTTTTTAAAAATTTCTAAGAATATTTTTGAAAACCAAATATTGCACAGCAAAAAATTGTAAAGAGAAATTGATTGCTTACAAAAGCAAAAGTAACTCGTTATTATCTCTAATTCAGAAAACAGAAATTAAGAAAAAAAAAAGAGTACTAGGTCTCCGTGCTTTGGAGTAGACACTAAGAAAGGAGACGTCTACCAGACTGTTAACCCCACCTTTTGCAGATTTACCCAGTGACTATTTAGAGCCCTGAGCATCTACGAAGAGAACACACAAACAATCACATCCTCGAAGAGAACACACAAACAATCACATCCTCTTACAAATGTAGAGAAAGATTTATTTCCTGCTAATGAATCTTAAATTGTGTACTGTGAAGTACTTGTTGATGGTATCAAATTGTCAGTCATTCACATGGGGTTAGATTTTCCTCCTTGTTTTCAGGTCCTATATTGCAACCAAAACAAACTACAAGTATATTAAATACTTTCCTCGTTACTTCTCTCCCAAGAGGGCAGCTGATGTAGTTATGAAGTTATGTCTCCTATGGTCACAACTCATTTATACCACTTGAACCCAATTCCAACTAGCTTGCTGTGTGTGAATCACAACTGGTTAGTCAGTAGGTCATCACTGGGATAAAAGCTATCTGAGTAATTACATGCTAGAAGGGAGAAACTCATGAGATAGATAGGCTCTCTGTTAGAATTGTTTTCTGCCATTCACAAAAATGAGAAACTACTAAATTAGCACATCCTTGTGGTTTGTATATTGAAAGTCTAAGACTTAATAAGATATGGAGTCAGGAACTATACTACAAATGAAATGTCAGAATAAATCCTGTTTCAGCCACAAAGAGAAGTTGATACAAATTCCAGAAGGTGTCAAGTTCTGCATACTTTAGTTGCTGAGAATTTTAATGCAGTTCCTAGACTGAACCAGTGGGCCATGAATGCTGGTGTTAAATTAAAGATCGGCAAATTAGCAATTCTGCCCCTTCTGACTGCAGCAGCTCTAACATCAGTAGCTCTGCAACTGGTCTAAGGCTCGTGAGAGTCTCAGGCAGAAGCTAAAGGAAGAACGATTCCCTTCTCCCATACAAAACAAAGTTCACTGCTGTTTAGTATAATCATTGTTGGCCTGGAGCCCTGACTAGTTTCTCCAGTTAGTAACTTTATTCATGAAAAGAAAAAGATAATTTTCTTTTCCATAAGGTACCACGGGTCTCAGTTCAACCAGACCTCACTGTTTTGAGGCCTGCAGGTAGATCATAAAATAGGCATAGGAGAAGTGAACGCTGAACAGGCAGTTTCTCTCCTTCAACACAAAGATTCAGCACCTGAAGCGGCCACCATGGCCCCAGGCTCAACAGCTGTAAAAGAAGTTTATTTTCTCCTCCACAGCTGTGGACAGGATTCCTTCTCTTCCTGCCCCAAGCAGATGCCCAGCATGCAACCCTTTTATTCAGTACATGGGAGCTTACATCAGCTTAGACAAACACCTACTGCCCCAGCACTCAGAGAGGAATTTAAAAACGATGTCTGTTTTCATATAGAAAACATGTACTTCAGTGAACGACTGTGTGTGGTTGGCCACTGTATCTAGTGGTGTATAAAGCCATTTGCCTCAGAAGGCGCTCAGGACACTAAGTTGACTGCCTCCTTTTTTCTCCAGGAATCAGTGTAATCATCAGATCACAGGATAATTCAGGGTGGGAAGGACTGCAGGGGGCTTCTAGTCCAGCATCCTGTTCAAAGCAGGTTCAGCAATGAGGTCATTTCAGGTTATTTTGGGCTTTATAGAGTAATGTCTTGAAAATCTCCAAGGATAAATACAGTACAACATCTCTAATAGTCCCCTTCCTACAGCCCTCACCAGCTGAAAGGCCAATGAGAAGAGAGTGAGGCAAGCTGGGAGTGGAGTGTGACCGTAAGGCTGTAGGAAGAACACATTCACAATCACAGGGTGCAGAACAGAGGATGTGGAAAGGTTCTTGAGCCATCCAAAGCTGTGAAAGGCCTTGGATAAACTAGCCCTTTGAAAGCTCTGCAGCCTTTATTGATATAAAATTTCTACCTAATGTTTCATGTATCTATTATTTTCCATACAAAGCCATAACTGTTTTCTCTCGCCTCCCACAAATCCCTTATTCAGAATGAAACACAAGTGCTTCAGTTAAATATGCTACACCAGCTTTATGTGGGCTAGGATGCTCAGCAGTGGAAACACAGGGTACTTAAGGGCAATACTTCCTGAAGTGGCTCTCAACTCTCAAGATCCATGGTGAATGAAGGATTCATTTTCATTCTTGAGCATTCTGTCTGGGGAAGTAAATCTAAAACCCAATTGATCATCAGCAACTGCAAAGCTCTGGTGCATATGTTTAAACTATGTGTCACTGTCATAGCAGCGTGCTACTGACACTAAAGCACAGTCACTTGAAAAAGAAATCAGACAAAATGATTCTTTCAAAGGACTGACACAAAAAACAGTAAATTCAAGGAAATTAAAACAAAGTGTCTGCTATCTGCTATCCCATGGTATTGAGAACTGAAGAAAATACCACTCACAGCTCTGAATTTCTTAGTATTTGGCAATGGAGCTGCAAATTTTTGGAGTGTACTTTAATGCACACATTGTGCTGGAGAGTTACAAACTACATGAAAACATTAGTAAGTAGAATTGCTGAGAAACATGCAGTCCAGGAGTTCACAGTACCATGACTCTAAGGAGGAAATTATTTTGTGGAATTGGTCAGAGATCCAGCATATCTCACGATTTCTACAACAAGACAACAATGTATGTCGTGCATATATCAAGCCTGTGGTAATTCCTTGCTCTGGGGAGATAATTTCATCCATAAATATGGGAGCCAGTTTCAATGAGAATATGAGTTCCTGCAATACACATTTGATTTTTGGATTTGCCAGACCACCCTTTGCAACTGGGCCATCTACTTCAGTTTTATACTATGAAGAGAATATATTGGTCCTGTACCTGAGCTGTTGAGTGCTTTCATCTGCCTTTACCTACAAAGAAGATCAAGGATGTTCAAAGACTCATAAAATCAGGTTGCTAATCAGGAGATTTTGACCAAAGGAGCTAGTTCTGCTGATCTCACAATGAATCATACTTCAACTCTCAAGTAGTGCCGGGGTCCTATACAGTACAAAAGTTTTCTGATCAGCTGGGAACACAGCAATGTAAGAATATCAGAAAGATATGATAGACAATTAGTTCTTTAGATCCTGAAAAGCTATAGAACAGAGAAATCAATCTAGAAACATATCCCATGGAACGGCTTTGGACAAGAAGTAATAATCTGCAAGTTTTCAGTGTTAAAAAACAAACATTTGTCGACCTCTACAAGGTATCAGATAAGCATGCCAACTCAGTTAATGTCTGTTTTCTTTTTGTGATATTTCCAGCTTGCAAACATTAAAAGAAAATGTAACAATTTTCGTAACTTAGAAAAGAAAAAATACACCATGACTTCAAGGCTGCAACTTTGCATGATAATATCTAAGCCCAAGAGAATTGTTCCATCCAAGTTGTGAACCTACGAAAATAATGGATATGTTATAATGAAACACTTAAGTATATATAAGCTACTTGTAAATGGGAAGACTGTTGTAAAGAGAACTGTAACATATCCTCTTTACTGCAGCCATGAAGTCATATTGCTTCATGTATTATTCAGCATACATTTATATTAGGTATCATTAGACTGTCCATATACAAATCATCCCTTTGCTGACATTCCTATTCTTCCATAATGATTCCATACCAAAAAGAGCATGCACTGAAAGGCTGAAAACACCTTGAATAAAATTAACTAACTAACTGTGCAACACCTCAGACTTTGAAAATACTGTGAAATGTGTTGAGATCAGCATAAAAGTCATCAGCCCTCCAGAACTGCCACTGATATTAAAAACTTTCTACAAATGGAATAAAACATAAATTCTTCCTAGGACAGCAAGAAATCCACCGGACCAGTAATATACAACAATAAATTGCATTTATAAGCCTCATTCAAATGTGCTAACATTCACGCATTAAGCAGCAAAAAATGAGCGTAGGAGCTCAAAGTTAACATTTTCTACGCATTCACCTTCAGAAAAAAACTTAGTTAAATTGGTTAAATAAGAATTTTGTAATCCATCATAAAACCATGGACCATACCTTTGTCTTCATGTCTACCGCATAATTTTCAAAAGTCTGATTCTCCTTATTGTGTACACCACATTGTCTGGATCCTTCCGATCCATTGGAAGCGGCAGACTAAAGGGGAAAAAATCAAATAAAGTAGCTGATATATGCACTATAATTCTGTTATTCCTAAATGTAAAGATTGTAATGGAAATACAGAAGGGTAGCCTGAATTCAGACAAACATCAGGTAGCTTATACATGGATTTTCAGCGCAGCGTTTTGTCATATAAAAATTTCTGGGATTAGTCTTATAGCCACTCTCATGGAAGTCCATGAAAGTCTTCATAGGCTAAATCTACAAGATGATGTTTATCATAATTTCTAGTTGACTTCAGAAGGAGTTCAGTGTGCTCAGCAGATCTCAACATCAGAACATAAGAGTAAGGAAGGAAATCACTGCCCTACCAAAAAGACCAGCTGATGGGTTGTCATCTAGAGTAGTTGCAGGAATAGTTATGGTAACAGCACCAACTGAATTACGTGGTTTGTTGTCTTATTTTTAATTCATGACATTCGTTTAAATGGTGTATTTCTGAAAGTTTCCTACTTGTGTCTTGACCATATTTGAAAATCTTTTAAATTAAAATGATGTAGTGTGGGCATTCCTTTTCTTAGCTTTCCTTTGTTTACACAGATTTAAATCTTATATTGTTCACAGAAATCCATCATAAAACATACAATATTTTATCAAAAAATATCCTCAATAGAAGGTATAATAAAAGGCTACATTTGTTTTTTTCAATTTTCCTTTTGGAAATTTAATACATTATTGTAGATTTTGCATTGAGGCAATAGGCATTATAAATTATATCTCTATTTACAATGCTCTGCCCTACAAAAATATGTTTGAAAAGTTAGCCTTTGAATGAAACGTGATGACTGCCACTGTCTCAGATCTCAGAAAATTTCTGGACACTTTACAAGATCATGGATAGGAAAGTAAAGTGACTTCAGAGTACAGTGTCTTGTACCTATCAGCACTGAGCATCACAGACACTGAGAGTGATCTAGGCCCATACTTCTTCCAACAGGAGTGCAGTCAATTTTAACACAATAGGCAAGAAATGGTTAGCATTTTAAATAGACCAACCACTGCCAGCATGATTTAGAAAGCAACAAGCCGATGCCACAAAAACAGCCAAATCACATCCGCATGTGCTAATGTTTTCTCCTCTGATACTGGCTTGTTTATTTAGGGCTCAGCCCACTAAAGGACTGAATGCTGGCCACCGTCCAGCAAACTACTTAGACACGTGCTTAACTTCACTGGAATCAATAATATTAGTCATATGCTCCAGTTAAGAATGCGTTTAAATGCTCTATTGGATCAGGCCCAAACAACTCAGCGCTATATGGGGCTGAGTGCATAGGACTCCACGCATGTCCTCTCTCAATTTTTAGCTTCTCTAATACGCCTGCAGTCACAGAGAACCATGCATTCCTTTGTGATTTTTATTTCATATCACAGAATAGCGTCACACTATCCCGCAATTGCAATCTGGAAGGGAGAGCAAAGCAATCTGCCCAAACTCTTAGAGGAGAGTAAGGAACTGAACCCAGGTCTCACATTGCCGAACATTGTATTTTGCCTTAGAGCACACAAAAAATCCCAGCAGCTCCTTAGTTGTGTTCTTTGAAAAGGGGAAAATGGATTTTACAAGGAAGGAAGGAGCATGCATAAAAATTTTCATCTCATCTTTGCTTTCTTTGAATACCTGATGTAAGTATTTTCTATTGTTATTATTTACAGGCAACAATATAAGCTATGCAAATCAATATATTATCTATTTACTCTAATCATCAAGACCAGGTTCTGCCTGATCCTAAAATGAGCTTAGCTTCTGCAACTCTTTAAAGGGGGACTTGACAATTTACAGTTGAAACTACAGGCTATATAGCAGCATTTATCAAATGAGTGCAGCTGCAAAACTGGATAAGGTACAACTTCAGTTTATTCATATTTTACCGTTTTTCCTCAAATTTGTCACCATTAGTTGATTCTAGTGTTTTGAAAGAGTATAAAACAATGTCTCATGAAATGGTATGAAATATTTCAATTGTTTCCCTTAGGGAAATGGATCACAGATTAATTGTGAAGAGCAGTAAACCAAGGACATTAGGAGGATACAAACAGCTCAAGCAAGAGCAATAATAATAAATCTGGAACATCTCTCTGTTCCACTGTATTAAGGTTCAATATGCATTAGCAAAATAATATATGGCTCCCAAACTTGAACAAAGTACACATTAGCAATTCATCTGAAAACCAGTAGTCATTTAGCTTTGTGTTTTGAAATAAACTAGACAGCACAATGCAAGAGGTGAAAAGGATACATCCTATGTCTTATGATACGTTTGTTAAAACGTAGCACTCTTGGGTCTGAATCTCTTCTCCTGACTCTTGACTTACCTAAGTTCCAGTCTAACCAAAAGCCTATGCTGTCTAAAATTATTTGTACACAATATATCCATAAGTTGCCTGCTCATGCAAAAAAAAAAAAAAAAAAATAGCAACATCCCGATATTCCTGAACTCTGCAGGTCACCGTGAGAAGCAGGACTGGTACCCCCTGAGTGACAAAGTACAAATGCAGAGGAGCATGACTCACGCACCATGCTTGTACCTCGTTCTAGGAGGTTCTAGAAAAATGACCTTAAGTTTGGATTAGAAATATTAATAAAAGTCTAACTTTTTTATCAGTTGTTTGTATCTAGAAGGCTGGTATTTAGAACAACTCTGTCCTCATCTTTGCAAAAGAAAATATTATCTTATTCCCCTCAAGCTGGTCAGCAAAAAGAGATGAGATTTTACAACCAAATGTTGCAAAAGTAGGTGAAAACATCATTTGATAATTTTGTTCCTATGGCTAGTAACCATGAGAATCACCAAAATCATACCAAAAGCAGTCTTCTAATTTTATGTATAATTAATGCTAATCTATTTAGATTATAATTAACATGAACTATTTAAACTGTAATCTCTTCAGGGCAATGTCTCTGTCATCGTGCAAACTTACAGTGTAATTTAAATGTTTATTAATAAAACAGTAATCACATTAGCTACCTTGTTAACTTTATCTAATTTTAAGAGTGCTCTGTTACTGCTTTTCTGTGCTTACAACACATCTTTCCTCTAGCTTACTAGGACATGCACAATTGTCACAGTCAACTGTCAACAAAATTCTTTTTTTTTTTTTTTTCCAAAGTACACAGCTATGAATTATGAAAGACTTGTCACTGGTTCCACTTTCAGCAGGCAGCCTGTTCTAGTTCATGTTTCAGCCAGGAACCAGCCAGAAGGAGCATCTGCCCTCACAGGCAATTATGGCATATGAGGTTTCCAAGACTTCCTTTAGGAGGCCTTCCTGTAGGAGCCAAACGCTATAACAGTGGATGACTTCTCCAGTCTATTTATATGGCTCCAGAATTTATACCTAATATAACAATATGAGATACTTGTAACTATTCAGAACAGTTACCACATGTTTACCTCTAGGAATGAGGCCCAGCTTTGGAAGTGCATTGATTAATAAAAAACATAGGAAACACACATGCAAACTGTATTCTGCTCCTCCACGTTCTTGAATGTTCCTGCCAGGACCTTGAGTTTATTCACACACACACCTGCATGGGATATTTCCTAGGGCACACATACCACTTTATGGCTAGAAAAGGCTGATCAGCTTTTCAAAGTGACCAAGAGCACTGGTGGGAGTATGGGGGAGCCCACTAGCCTAAATACATCTGCAATTGCCTTAGGGTCCTATAGCAGGCAGCGTAGGGAGCACTTTCCTGTGTGCTTTTAGAGAGGAGTTCAAACCACAAAATGATCTGAGACCACTTTTGGCCCTCTCTATCAAGAAAGGGTAGTTCTGTTCCAGCCCCATGAAAAGTTGTAGATAAATGCCAGTTTGCCTCAAATGATTTACATTAATAGAGGAAAGATATTTAAAAAAAAAAAAAGAGAGACAGATCTGTTAACTTGTGGATGCCAATATCTGTCAAGAAAGCTATCATCCTGGTAATCAAATGCTCGCAGGAAAATATAGCGCTGAGAGATACTGCTTTTGTTTAATTAATTTTTTGAAGGTCCGCATTTTACAAACCACTAGAACATTTTAAAAGCTACAGGGGGAAAGTAAAATACAATGTAACATATGCTGGAAGTATCCATTTCACAGTACATTGATGCAAATTAATTCATTTAGCAGTTATACTAGAGTAGGGAAGCAACCTGAGATGAACTGAGATGCACAATATGATACTGATACAAGCGAACAACACAGCACACCTCTACACCAGGTTACAGCCAACTCCACTAGTGATCTACTCAAGCCATATGTGAACCAAAACTGGATGCAAGTCAAGTTCATCTTTTGCAACATGCCAGCAACAGTAAGAGTGCCTTCTGTGCCCATGATCCATCAAAGACTGCACATTTTCATTGTACCTAGGCAGAGTTGACAAGCTCTCATAAATGTATGCTGAGCATCGCAGTTTCGGTTTCTTGCTGCTGGCAGTCTTGAACAAACACCTCCTCACCCCCCACCCCACCCCCAGCAAAAGCTGCAGCTCTTGGACAATTTGTAGGAAACAAGGTGTCATTGGGGACTTGAAGAGTTTTTCCTGTAATGCTACGCAGAGGAAAACCTAGATACCATAAGGTGCGCCTTCCTTTTTCCATAGTGCGCTATCCCCATTTCTATTTCTCTTATTGTCCTTATTACAGGAGGCAATCTCATTCAGCAATTTTTTGGCAGGAATTAACTTTTACCCATACCACAGATGACTGAAAACTCACACAACCCCAGACCAGGCCATGCTAGAAATGAAAATCAGAAATATAATCCTGCTGAAGTTAGGCAGAGTTTCACTTCAGCTGGACCAAAATTTCAGTCCAGAAATAATATAACAGGGCTCAATATTGTGGGCTTCTTGCCCACAAAATCCGTTAAAAAAAAAAAAAAAATGGATAATTAAGTGTTTCTGAAATCCCTAGCAAAAGCATGGCTCTTTAGTCTCAGCCTAATGATCTGGTAATCAACAAAGATTTTGTTTCTATTTCCCTGCT